AGAGGACATATTTCAGAAATGTCCTGTTTTAAATCTTGTGATTTTCATTTGAATTATTATTAACATTAAAAAATAATTTAATTATAATTGTCTAATTTTCAGCCACCAGTTCCCTGGCTTACACATCTCCATCCTCAACATCCACCACACAAAATGTGAGATCCTCCTCCAATCAGTTAGGCACCAACTCCTTAGTCCACTGTTTGTTGAAACTGGCAGGGAAAGATGGAATCAGGGAACCTCTGTTAAAGGCTGTTTACGGACTTCTGGCCACACTATCTCTGTCATCCGAGTGCCGAAATATCATGTTTAAAGTAGTTCATTTGTTCTATTTTCAGCATGGAGGATAAAAGTTTATCAAAGCTAAAAAAAGCATTATCTTAAAAGAGCATTAATTTAAAATACTCTTCCAAATATGGTCATTAACATTGTCCACTCCTTCAAAGTTTCCAAGTTTGGTAAGTCATTGAAATTGAATCATTATGTTTTATTTTCTTGCTTAGAGCAACTTCTTCAGAGAGTTTACAGAGTTAAATCCCAGAAAAACCAAGAAGAGTAAACAGAATAAAAATCTAGAAATCTACTGGTTGGAACTGATGGTTAATTTGTCTTTCTCCACTGAAGGCCAACAGATGATTCTAAAAACAGGGGGTAGGTAAACAATATTACCTGTACATTGTTCAAGGAAATACTGTGCAATCATCCTTGTTCATGGGTGAGCAGTTTTCCTGGGTCACCCTTCCTAACAAATTAACATCCCCATGAATGCATCGGTTCAAATCTTCCATACATACAAGTTCACTGTGTAATTATGTCCTCACAAGTAAAATTTTGGTTGGCCATGAACATTGACCCCCCAACAGTGATTCTACAGGAACTAAACAATTAAAATGATCATTCTACAGTAACTAACCATTGTCCAGAACACCATAAATTTTGTACAAAGCACTTGAACAATTAACTTAAAAAATATATGGAAGCCTATCAGTAGTTCTTTTTTTCATCACTTTAAGTATTTTAATGACCCTTTAATATTCTTTCAGATTCTGTAGATCTACTGCTGGATTTTGTGGAGTGTGGGAGTGGGGTCACACTGGAGTACTCCATACTTATCATCAGAAACATGTGCTGTCACTGCAGTAGCAAACCAAAGCTATTGGCTAATGGTAATTAAGTAATCCATATTCCATATGGTACATGTATACCAGCCCCTGGGAATATCCTAAAGAAAACATATTTATTGTGGATTATAACTCTGTATAATAGAAGTTAATAGGTATTCTTTTAAATTGTAGATAAACTGTTGCCTCTTCTGTTGGCTTGCTTGAACAAGGATTCTGTTAAGGTTCAGACAATTGCAGCATCAGCTCTTCTGGGTCTTGTGTATAATAACCAAAAGGTGAGTACACAGGGAAAGTTCATGTACATCACAATAAGTTTTTACATAATGATAAATACAAAGAACTATATGAAGATCAAATTTGGGCCAAGGGTGTCATCTAGCAAGACTAATTTTTGAATATTTTGAAATTGACCTTTGGTTCATCAGGTTTGTTTCATTTGTTTGCAGCAGTTTTATATTGTATTACGATGTGCCTTTTGTACATAGAACTTTTAAGTAATGTGTTTGAAATGGTGATACACTCTTTTCCACTATTTTTATGTCATACAGAACCTACTTCATTCAAATTATCAGCTTAATAAATTATTTGAATTTTCTGAATATGATTTAATGGTACCTAAATAATTTTGGATTATTGCAGGCCAAAGTAATGCTGAAAAATGCTAATCTACTACCTAAATTACAAGAAATTTTATCCAATCTCAACAATCTACAAAGTACACCAGAGAAATGTGTGCAGGATTTGACATCAGTGCTTGTGGCTGTGTCGGAGTGAATATAACCTGTATAATAGATGTTAGTTTAAAACTTTGAGTTATTATTATACAAACTAGAAGAATGAAAAAGAAAGCTCATCTGTGATATTAAATGTATGTCATATATGTAAAGTAGCAATGCTACATTTGATTCAATAAATTTTGTTCTAGTACAGTATAAGTGTGTATTTGTCTCAATTATATCTCATGTGTACATCAATAAGCATTTGAAAAGTATAACAACTTGTCAGCAAACACCTTCAAGATTATTGGCAATCTGTGTGTCAAATCTTGAGTTCTTCCATCACAAAGCCATGTTCCCGACATAAATACAATGTACACTGTATAAACACTGCCTAAATGACTGTGGGGTTCAGAGTTACGAAGTTCCTGGTCACAGAAAAAAAATCTTTGCCAAATTAGTGTCTACATTCCCAGTATTAAAAAAATTATGTCCCAATATATCAAAGCCAGAACACTGCTATCTTATTGCAATTCATGTGAGCTTCTGTGCAAGATGGACAACCTGACTGATGAGCATAGTAATTCCTATACATGTATATCTATGTGTATTTTTGGTCAATGATTCACCTCTCCAAAGCCATTTTTTCAAATAATGTTGCAATTACAAGCAAAATATTTATCTGAGATATTTATATAAAGTACATCTAATAAGCTGGTTCATGTAGTGATTTAGGTACATGGCTAAGCTGCTTCACTTTTTAATATCCAGAATATAGTTTACTATATTGGGTTACTTCAGTCTTTTTATAGCAGTGCTCCGACTTTAAATTATTTTTGTACTGAGACAAAAGTGCACTATTCAACAAAATGTAACTTTCTGTTATAGATTTTATTGTTAAAATGTAAAGTTAAAAAACATTACAGAAAGATTCAAAAGTTTTTATAAAATACAAATACAGTCGTAACAAATGTTTTCCTTGATACCAATATCAACAGCAACAACCAATTAGTATCAATGAAGACTACAATGGACGTACAATTAAAACAGTTTGTAAAAACGGAGAACCGACCTCCCACACACGTGTCTCTACAAATGATGAAGTACAAGTAACCGGCTTACACTATCAAAACATCTCATATAAATCAATGTTCATTGATGAACTACAAAACCAATCTCATTTAAAATATTACCTACAGTAAAACTTGTTTTGTACAAACAGGGATTACATACCGATATATAATATAGTATATAATATAGTCCAATCCAAACTTTGCAAAAGTTGTGTCCCTTTGCGGGGTCAATCAAAAGGGAAAGAATCAACATTTCTCCTCTTTATGCTACCAAACGTTTGGGTGTGCTCTGTTGAAACCACTGGGTAATTTTTTTATCTTTCAATGCGTGGGTAGCCCCATTTTGGGGCAATCAGTACACAAAATGCAAAGCTTTTTACCAGTCAAATAAAGTTACAAACCTGAAAATTACAATGGCTACAATGAGGATTCTATGGGTTTTCCCCTAAGATGGCGGCCAAGGGATATAACTTTTGAAAAGTGTGGATTCAACTATTGAATTTACTGATATACAGTATGTAAATTAGTTTGTAAAATGTTAAAGTTATAACAAACTTACTTTAATAAATTTATGGATATAGCGAGTAGATTTTGTGTTCCACTGAGGTTAAAAATAACCAAATTTGTATCTTTTATAACAATTTTTTTAAAGCCCCACAATTAAGAAATATTAAATTGATGTTATTTTTAATTGAAATTTTATCAATCAAAAAATTTCACTTCTCTGATAAGTTTTGTATGTAATACCTTTACTAATGAGCATATTCTGTTGTCATATAAGAAGGAAAACGTGTATATTATTACTTATAAGGTTTGTTACCGACTGTCTACAGAAATATTTTGGGTTGATCATGCAAGGCATTTGAATAATATACAATAGAATCTACAGCAAAACCTATTCTTAAAAAAGCCCCCCCCCCCTCCCCAGTACAATGGGCAATGGGCCTGTAAGATGTTCAAAATAATTGAATACAACTAAATTAATTCAAAATTTAAGTGTCCCAACATCTCAACTATTGTAGCATCATGTTTCCTTCAATTTCACACAGTCAAAGTCATAAAAGCATAACTTTTACTGTATTATACTGTAATACTGATGTACATATCTGTGCAAGTTTTCAGTCTCAAATTATATATACTAATACAATCATTTCATGAACAACTAGATAGATGAGGAATGATCAAAAGGTTCGTGAACTATCTCTATATTTACAAAACCACAAGTTAGATCGGAATGAAATTTGGCACACATACAGTCATACACAAGTTCTATAAATAGCAGGTGATAGGTAATGTTTTGCTCCATGTTTGTGACGTCAAAATATGAAAATAACGTCAATATGTAGATGACATGTGACAAAAAATGGTTGACTTGGTTGTACTTGGGGCAAGGAACAGCAGCAGCTGTAAAGTTTAACATATATCTTGGGAATTCCTATGCAGTAGCATATAATTTGTACAAGGTTTATGAAGACAAAGGACTTGTCAGAAGGTCAATCATTAATATCGGATTGCTTGTTTTAGTGAAGGAAGGTAGTTAAAAATGATGTTTGTTTTGGTGTCCAGTGAAAATAAGCTGGGAAACAGATGTGTTCTTAGTTGAACAATTTGTTATGAAAGAATGCCAAGTTACAATTAGAAAAATAGTTGAATATCTTAAGAAAAAATAATTATTAAATCCATAAAATATCATTTACTTAAGACTTTAAACATATCATATATAATGAAGAAAATGCACCTATACTTCATCCACATTGGATAAACGATGCACCCAAAACAGAAGAGTCCAGTTGTGATGGTCACAAAGCTCATTCTGGGAAAATCCTTACACTTATCCATATCCTTATCCACCCATCCTATTGCTGAGATTTGGCCATTTGTGATAAATGGACTATTCTTGTTATAAAAAAAAAATAACCTGCATGGTAAGAAATATAAGACTCGGTAAAATCTTTTAGCTTCTGTGAACATATGCTACGGAACGTCACGTGAGCGCCTGGACCACGTGATTTGCACATGGGCAGAACGGTGGCAGGAGTGCATTAAAATTGGAGGGGGCTACTTTAAATATAATAAACAATGAAAACCTTATTTTAATTCTTTTATGGAAGTACCGTATAGTGGGATTTTTTAGGGGGGTGCTAATTTTGGCTTATTTAAGCGGTTTTGAAGCAGTCCGCTAAAATTTTAATCGCTAAATTTGCTTTTGTGTAAGTACTAAACCAAAAGAACTTAACTTTGATCTGTATGTTATTTAAAAATTTATCTTTTATTTGGTATTAGTTTTACTCAAAATCTTGTGTGAATCGGTATCAAGCATAGATTAAACGTACTGAAAACCCATCTAAATGATGAACTTACTTTTTTTTTAATAACGTCATTGAACTGTGTGCCCACCAAAAAAAGTTCCATCAAAATTATTGGCATACCTTTGAGCAAGCAAAACGCCAAATTTTGCACCTGCTAAAGAAACCCGCTATATGGTATTTCAATTAGTTTGCGAACTTTTTGATCACCTCTCATACAATATACTAACTTCACAAATAAAACTATACATAATAACCATAGCTGTTATACATGTATACCGTAACTGTAACAAATGCAGAATTAATAACAAGTCTAACTACACCAACAAGCAAGTAGATATGAAGAATCTCCCTTGAGAAGTACAAGGGATGTTTTTTCATTTATGACTAGAAAAAGAACATGATCGTTAAAAAAATTCATTGAAAAAATGTCTTGCTACATTCTATAAAGGATACCAACATTTGTACATGTAAATAAAAACATAAAAAATTTGACATAGACCTGTAACAGTTTGCATTGAATGTGAAACATACATGTGACATTAAAAACAATTACAGATGTTTCAGAGCAACAAAATCTTTAAGATAAGGCGGTATTGGCAAAAATTTAACCTTTAACAATAAAGTATTTCCAAGGCACCTGCGCACTCGGATTCGACACAATGACTGCAGGGAGAGTGGGTTTTTGTGGAAGTTTTTCAGCCAGTCTGAGATCTCTTTGTGGTTAACATGCTGAGGATGAAGTCTGGGCACAATAAGGACTCCAGGAATGGTCTGGATACCAGACAGAAATAACATCTTCATCAGGTGACTATGGTTGCTGAAACAAAATGTTTTAAAATTCATCTTAGAGAAAAGGGCATTATACAGAATTTACCAATATACTTATGCTAATAGGTGTAAATGATGTTGTGCATGAGGCAAATAATGTTCCTCATATTACATAAAAGCACATATATTGTCTAAGTTATAACTCACCAGAACATGTCTGTGACCCCAGGATAGTGAGGGAGGGGTAACTTTGGGCATCCTCTAAGCAAAACTTCAGCTGTTTGTATGTGACCTCTGTCAAACACCTTAGAAATACTACTTAAGCTGAAAAATAGCAATTGGTGTCTTAAAGGTGATTCATCTTGCATATGCAAAAGGTTCTTATGAAATTCTTGCATATCAATACCCAACACTTATATTTCTATTCAAAATACCCGGTAAAAAAGAAGTGAAATCCTTCTCAAAGCCATGAGGCTCATAAGGCCAGTGCTTATACAAGGTTTCTGTGGTGCTAAGTGGATGACAGTAACTGACTCCTCCCTAGATGGGACACCAATTTATTGCAGGTTAATCCCTATTGTAAGGTGATACTCATTGCAGCCGACTGGACTGAGAAAATGCAGATAAAGTACCTTGTCTAGGGACATGACACACAACATCAAGTGACCACAGAGGAGCTTGAACCAGCAGCCTTTAAGTTACTTGCTAAATACCTATGACCACTGAGCCATGTGCTCCACCTGCGCCATGTTCCATCAAATTTCTATTCAAGTCAAAACTTAATTGCATGTTATAATTATATTTTCTCAAATATGTTTAATACATCTGATTATTATTGGAATTTCCCTGTATATATAACATACAACAGTAACATGATTAGGATGTGTCCAAATACATAAAGCAAAGTTCCACTATTCTGCATATAAATAACTAATAATTCCCACATGAATGTAAAAAAAAAAAAAAAAAAAAACAAGAGGCCCAAGGGCCTTAATGGTCACCTGAGTATAAAACAACAATCCATAGAGGATCCATGAAATTTAAATTGAAAGCAGCAAAAAAAAAAAAAAAAAAAAAACAGGTTATACAATATAAATTAATTTTTTATCCAATCAAATGACGTGTTATAACTAAAATTAAATTATATTAAAATGACTTATCATGGTTTTGTTGTTTTTGAGAAGATTTTTAATGATCATTCCTATAAATTCCTAACTAAAAAGCTTTGATCACCTGTTGTGTCCCCTGCCCCCCTCCCTACCCAAGGGGGTCAAGATATGAACAAAGAACTATGTACGCTAACTCTGGATTCCCACCTACATTTTACAACCATTTAATTCAATACTAATGGAAATTTGGCCATAAAATCTTTGTTGAATGCAAAGAAGAGTTCAATGGTAATTGATTAAATAATTTTAATACCAGTGTTAAATAGTTAATTACTCTTAATTCCAGCTCTTTTTATAAGGAGGGTAGACGATGTTTCCCACTGAAATCGGGCTTGAAAGCATCAGCATATTTAAAATATTCTTGGATATGGATAAATGTTCCTTAAATCTTTTCTTATGTTTTATGCATGTAAAATTAAACATATGTAATTGATAAAATACACTTTTTAGTTTTAAACCCCTTTGAAATTGGTGAAAAAAATGAAGATTTTTAAAGATTTTTCCTATGTATTCCTATGTAAAACTTTGATCGTCCATTGTGACCCCACCCTACCCCCGGGGGTCATGATTCGAACAAACTTGAATCTACACTGAGGATTTTTCCATCTAAGTTTCATCTATCTTGGCCCAGTTGTTCTTGACAAGAAGATTTTTAAAAGATACCATTAATTTTTCACTAATTCTTAATTATCTCCCCTTGGAAAAATGCTTGGACCTTCATTTGAACAAACTTGAATCAACATTACCCAAGGATACTTTGTGGCAAGTTTGGTTGAAATTGGGCCAGTGGTTCTTGAGAAGAAGTTGAAAATGTGAAAAGTTTACACACGATGACGGACAAAACAGATAGCAATAGGTCAACTGAGTGACTCAGGTGACCTAATAAATGCTTGAAATGAACCAAGTTAAACAAATAATATCTGAAGTCTTCTGTGAATTATCAAAGAATAAAATTCATTGCACTGATAAAATTATTGTATCATTAGGTTGTCTCTTAATGTAAGTTATGTGAACAATGCTCTTTCCTTTTGTTGCATATAGATTACTTCTATAAATATAAAGTAATATGATTAGTGAAACTTTCAATATACATGTATATTCTCAGCAAAATGTGTGTATAAATAGCAGTGTTTTAAATTTCTTGCAGGTTCCAAATATATGTACTCTCACTTTAAGAGCTAAATCTCCAAACACAAAATACTTTCCCTTTGGCCATTGTACATTTTTATTCATCCAGATCTAAAAATACATAATTAACACTTGCCTCCTTTATTTTGATACACTATTATATCAATTACAATATTTATAACTTTTTTAAAAAAAATCTAATGAAATTTGTAAATGTGAATACATTTTTTTTTTGCAGATTTAGTGTTCTACACAGAACTTGATGCGTGTGTTCATGTGTATAGATACTTAAAGACTTGGCAAGTTTAAAAGCTGAAAAAGAACATAAATATATGTGCCAAGTCCTTAAAATCAATTATTAATACTTGCCTTTTTAATAAACCTAAAGTTAAAGATATGTGCAATACCTTTTATTTGCAAATGGTTGAGATAAAATATCAGCACCCAGATTCATCAAATACTCCACTACTTCGTATCTGTTATTTTCTATGGCCAATTGAAAGGCGGTTTGACCACTGGAATTCTTCAATATTGGATTAGCCCCACCTTTCAAAAAAAACAAACTTGTTTTCTCTCTTTCTATTCTCATTTTTTTTTTAAATCTATTGACAGAGCTTCATTTGCACACAGTTATCAAGAGGCCCATGGGCCACAACATTCAGCTGAGTCTTTATGTCCTTGTTGTTCTTCATCAGCATATTTTTTCCTTATATATTCTTATGTAAAACTTTGACTGCCTGTTGTGGCACAATCCTACCCTCATGGTCATGATTTGAACAAACTTTAATCTATGCTACCTGAGGATGATTCCATATCAAAATGGATAATCATGCCTATTATGTTCTTAAGAAAAATTTTCCCTCTTTATATCTTTGTAAAACTTTGACTGCCTATCGTGGCCCCACCCTACTGGGGGGTTTGAGGGGGGTCAAGATTTGAACACAACCTTTTTAATCTACACTAATTGAGGATGCTTGCATGTGACTAATCATGCCTTTGCTGTTCTTAGAAGAATTTTAAAGATTTTTTTCTATATGTATATTCCCATATACAACTTTGAATGTCTAGTGGTCATGATTTGAACAAACTTGAATCTTAACTCTATGTATTAAATGAAGCTTTCATATAAGTTTAACTTTTCTGACCCAGCGATTCTTGGGAAGATTTTTGAAAGAAGCCATTAAATTTCACTAATTCTTAATTATCTCCTTTTGAAAGAGGGCCTGGCCCTTCATTTAAACAAACTTGAATCCTCTTTTCTGACCCAGCGATTCTTGGGAAGATTTTTGAAAGAAGCCATTAAATTTCACTAATTCTTAATTATCTCCTTTTGAAAGAGGGCCTGGCCCTTCATTTAAACAAACTTGAATCCTCTTCACCAAAGGATACTCTGAAAGAAGATGAAATTGTGAAAAGTTTGCAACGACGATGGTGACAGACAGCTGACAAATCTCAATCAAAAAGGTCACTTGAGCCTTTGGCTTAGGTGGGCTAAAAATTAATATTAAATTAAACACAATTCATTGACTTTCAAAAAGATATAGCTTATAATTAGTATCACATTTAAATATACATTGTACATCTTTTTCTACAGAGTTTGCATTTTCTTTCATGTGGTTACAGAATTTTAATTTTAACCTTGTATCAAAATGAAATAATCAAGTACAAATTTAAAGAATATCTTAAAATTATGCTATTAATCATCACTGAACATTTATTCAAGACGTTATTAGTAAGGTTCCATTTCAACCACTTGCTTTTGATTTTTCTAGTACATTAATGAGTTACTTATTTTAAATGCAAAAATAGATATTTTTTAAATCCCCTCTAACCAAAAAAAATTTTAAAAAATCTACCATTCATGAGAAGTGTGACTGCATCCAGATTCCCCAATCGACAAGCAATGTGTAGTGCACTTGTTCCATTGATATCCGTTTTGTTTACATCACACTGCTGACCAACCAGGTACTCCACAATATCTAAATGGTCTGAAAAATGGAAAGACTCTGTCTCTAATAGATTTAAATTTAAACATATTAAAAGTAATAAATACACAATACATGTACCATTGCATTCTTTATCTAAATTTCTCCATCAATTTTATACCTTTCTGCACTGCCTCTGCAAGTGGAGTTACACCATACTTATTTGCAAAATCCTTGTTGCAACCTGCTTCACAAAGTGCCTACAAATAGACAGATTATTGAGATTATCATAATTTTATATATTAGCTGCACTTGGACTTATAATCAGGATTCTCAAAATATTTTAGACACACTCCAATAAGGACCAAGATACCATCTACAATTAAAAAACAGAATAGTCAGCAAGGGTATGTTAGGATACCTTTGAAGGATGGATATCAAACGGTAGGATTGGTGAGATGAAATTATGATAACTATAAATTCACACCAAAAAAAAATGTTTCTGCAGACTCCCTTGAGTGTTAAAAATAGACACCTCCTTACTTTCAATTTCACAAAATGCTTGCCTGTGTGATTGGTAACAATCCTAGTCTTGCAGTCAAGAAAATTGGAGCATGGTCTTGACTGCCCAAATTAACATCACATCCAGCATCTATAAGCATGTGCACTATAACAGAGTTTCCCCCCTTTATGGCAGTATACAGGGGTGAGATGTTCACATTGTCAGGGATCTGGACATCTGCTCCCTGTTGTATTAAATATTCTACTATCTCTGTGTTCCCATGTTCTACAGCTACATGTAGAGGAGTCTGATGGACATACTGTGTTGTCTGGTTTATACAAGCTCCTTCTTCTAACAGCATCTCACAAATCTTACGGTGATTAGCTTGAGCAGCACAAGTCAATGGTGTCTCCCCATTTACATTATGAATGTCTAGGACAGTGTTGGTGTAGATGAAGTCTCCTATCTTCATCATTCTTGTTTTCTCATTCTGCTCCTAGAAAATGTTGATAAAGATTTTAACAAATCAAGTATCTGGGATGAAAAAAAATATATATTCACAACTAACATGACATTTTTCAAAATAGCATTAAAGATATGATGTCTTTAGGCCTGTACCTTCATCAAAGCTATTGAACTTTCATTAATTAAGTAACCATAAGTGTATGGATGATAGACAAACAGACCAAAAAACTGTCAGTAAACTGCTAAGCATAAAATAATATGGTTGAATTCCTGCATTTATTTTTACTTACATTTTGTTTGATGTTTTCAATTATTATTTCTACCATTTCCTCTCTTCCTCTGCTACAGGCATATGCTAATCCATCTATTACATAGTCTGTGCCCCCTCTAACTAACAGCATAGATCTCAGCTCTGTTATGTTGTTGTTCTTGATTATCTGGAACATTTTCTCCATATTCACTTGTTTATTTTCTGTCTGACACTACCTGAAATAAAATAGGAAACTAATTAATTAGACAAATTGACATCATCTGGGTGTACTGTAATACATTCACAATTATTATTATTTTTTTTTTTTGTTGTTGTTGTTTTCACTGAATTGCTCTTAAAGCTTGATTTAGCTGTAAAACTTTATTTAGCTGTAATTAACAAATAGAATAAATTGTTAAAAAAAATATTCCTGTAGCCATGAGCACTGTTGGCATAATAGAGAGAGAAAGACAGTTAATACATGTTGTGTCCCTTTACTGCTTTCTTTTTCTAAGAAGCTGTTAAGGTAAAGATCTAGTAAATGAAAAGGGAAGTAACTCAGTTAAACTTAAAATTGGGTATTATTTAAATCAGACTGTTTATCTTGTTTATCTTGAACTGACCTGTAACAATAATATTAATTAAGACACTTACATATATTTGTTCATGAATTGAAAAGAACTTAAACTAATACGCATAAGGGAGATCTGAGTAAATATAAACACAAAAGAACAACTAGGAACATATCATCCACACAACATCACTGGTCCTGAGACCATCTGAGGCCATGGGACCCCTGAACAAACTTCTTTCCTTTTTTTCGGGTCAGCTTCTCTCATTGAGAAGCACAAAGCAAATTGGGATTTTCTTAAGTTTTTGGTGCACACTGTTATGTCTCATATTTCTTCCTCTGTCATCATAATACAATGGAGTTCACCTTTCCATTATTGGCCTATATCAGTATTTCTTCACTCCGTGAAAAGGACCTTAGCTCTTTCTTGGGATCATATATATTCTCTATTTGCTGCAGCTGTTCTCCTCATATCCTTATCACTTTCTGAAAGTTTCTAATTAAATTCAAAAAATAAATAAAATTCTTTTTTTTTTTCAGTATGTAGGCCTAGCCTTATCAATGATGTAAATTGAATTAGTTAAAGTTTCCGCAATATTACATCGGCAGCGCTTCCGAAATGTAAACAAACCAACGTGCAGACATATATTGACCTTAGCAGAATATGATTTGTTCACTAGAAACGATCAGAAAAACCCAATGGAAATAAAATATCAGATAATGATATCATATTTTATTTACCTTCGATGTCCTTGAGATTAAATTCTCGTGCACTCAACATCATCTTAGGGTCAGGTCAATATACAAATGACATCACAACAAAGTGATTCATCCGTCTGCCACATTTTTAGCACAAATGCGCATGCGCAATTAGTTGGCCATCCGGGAGATTTTTCGATCCAAGATGGCGCCGATTGGCGAAAACGAAGAGAGGATGGGTTCGACCGTAGCAGATGATGATGAAAATGAGAGCCAAACTCTCTGGTAGTTGCATAGATTATTTCATTTAAAAATTGCATATGCAGTTGATAAGAAAAAATGAGAGTATTGAATTGCTGATGGCTATTTAAAGCACCTCATCCATTCATCAGCTCATCATAATTTATCGAGGAAAAATTATTGTGACATTTTCTTTGATAATGATAAGCTATTTTTGAAATTGTTCAAATTTGTTCGTATTTTCTTTTTATGAAAGTGACATTTGATGTGCAAGAACAGATGTCTATATTATTTATGCTGAATAAAAAAAAGTAACTCGAGTTTCCTCAAGTGTTGAGAGAAATTTTGGTATGTGACAACCTGTTCCTTTTGGAACTAGATAAACACACAAACACAGCTGACAAAGGGGATGGCAAATTGTTGTGATGGGTTGATACATAATGCAGTAACTTGATAATATGGACTAGGAAGATGAAGCAATAATTGTTTGAAAAGGACTTAAAAGTAAAACGGACATAGACTCAGATTTGAAGTTTATATTCTTCAATATTTTTTGGTTGCATTTCAGAGACATAACAGATATTCACAACTCTGACATTAACATTTAGATTTGCTAAAGTATGTTATGGTTTTGGCATTATTCTAAAAATTGCTCGAAGTTAAACTAATGATATGTTTTATGGTGTAACCTTTGGGGCAAGCACCATTTTGTTTAAACAAAAGGCATTGTAGAGTAGATGCATTTTTTTGTTTCACCTAAGCTCTCCGTAATAACTAAATCTTCACAATAATATGTCAATAGCTGTGGTACTCCCATGCCATTTGGCATTTTTGCATGATATTGTGATAGCGATAGAATTTTGGGAAGGTTTCACACAAAAATTTGCTTGACAGATGGACAGTTTATAGTTCAGATTTCCACTGTTCTTACACGTTAGTCTATTGAGCTCCCTTCTTAAGCCCTGTGCCCAGCTCACTGTTCTCAGAATTACTTGCATTGTATATGGATGCATGATTTTAAATGACTAAAAAACTGTGAAGTGATTATTAAAAGCAAACTAGGCAAATAGAAGAGGTCAATTTGAAAAATTAGTGAAATCTCAGTGAGATATTGCCAGCCACAGGTTGCCTGTTACTACTTCTGAATAATTTGTTGATTTCTACTGCGTCATCCTTTATAATTTAAAAGATTTATCTGAATTAAATGGTGTGAGAACTTGAAAAAGTCAACAATAGGGCTCAAGAGAAATCACAGGATTTTGAACAGTTTTGAATTTCTATTATTTATGTCTCTGAATTTCATGACTTGCATGTTGTGAGAGTGTTGCAGACTTATAAATTTTAAGAGTGTATAGAAACTTTTTTAATTTGAAAATTATGAAAACTATGAATATGGAACATGTTTGATTGTCAAACATCCTTGCACTTTCTGAATTGAAATTTATTAATATTACGGAAAAGTGGGAAATCTATGGTGTATTAATGCTAGTAAAACTGTAATAAAGAAAGTCATAAAGGAAATGTAAGAGAGCAAAACCAACACACCAATGTTTTCAGTTTATTTTCAGTGATGTGTGCAGTGAAAGCAAATCGAACACATATGGTAAACACAAGCAAAAACAAAGCTTGATCCCTGGCATGTTTACAAACACAGGCATTTGTTTTAAGGTTATGATATTGTCAATGAATATAAGAATTTTCATGTTGGTTCAAATAGTTGGACTTAAGTTACTTTCAAAATAAAAAGGAATAATAATTAAAATTTGAACAAAATAACAATGCAAATGTGTCTATGCCCCTTTAAGCTATACAATATGTCTGATGGTGAAACCAGTGGGGGGACTTTGGGTGAGCTCAGTTTCTTGGAGTAATAATTTGTGAATTCTTCGCCTCTCAAATGGTGGATCTGCCATTTCCTTTTGCATATTGCAAATGATGTAACGGTAAACTCCTGTAGCTTGTATGTAGTAAGTTGTGTTGTACTAATTAATAGATTATAATTGAAAATAATGATTGATTATCAATAATTTCAAGCAACAATCAGTTATTTTTTTTTCAATAATAAATCATCGGAACCTATTATTAATATTGAGTTATCAGGGGATTTCTCCATTTAGGTTTGTTTTAAATGTAATAAACACATATTGCTTGTTCATAAAACATGTACATGTAATATGGCAAGACCTAAATTATATTTAGAAAAGCAGACAAGGAGATTAAGAAAAATGGAAACATTATCACCTAGGAAATGATAAACCTATAGTTTGGAATTGCATACGTTTTTTTTTTTAATTCCATTCCTTACAAGAATAGTGTTGTAGCCTTGCTTTTACTGTGTCTTTTAATGTCTTTTTTTTTCCAAATGATTTTTATTGTATTATATAATTTTTTTTTAATTAAAAAAATAAAATTATGTGTTTCTGGATATCCTTTTTTATGTATGTCAACATGAAAATTGAAATATTGCATACTTATAGGTAACATATGAAGTGAATACAATGAAGTAATAATTGTTGGTCAAGTAAATAAAAGAAATAAGTAAAGAATTGTGGAAAAAAAACATCTCTGAAAATCCATATATTGTCCATATTTTGCTTTATTATTCTAATCTTTAACATTTTCTGTTAAAAAACATTTTGTTACATAGATATTGATTGTTTCTCACCCTTTTCCCCAGCCTGTCATGATGTTTAAATATTTTTCAATATTCACTTTTCCATTAAAGCAACATAAGGTGTAATAAATCTTAAAAAAGACAAAAAGAGATATCACATTGATTTTTTTTTTTACAAAAGAAAAACCTCAATGCAGATTTCCCCAAAATAGTTAACTAGATTTTAGGAAAACATATTAATGGGCAGTATTATCCGTATGTCTCTCAACACTACAGGATTTTTAATACCGGTACTTAGATTGAGATTGAGTAAGGGAAGATACTTTTAAGATATGAAGGTTAAAGGGAAAGGATCAGAATTATTGATATAAGAATATTGTCAAAGTGGTTGACCAGATTTCTTGCATTTTCAAAGCTTTAATTTTCTTTCATATAATTTTAGGGCAACCATCTTGGGAGAAGTTCAGTCAAGTTCAGCAACCAATTTGCCATCAACAAAATCAGTATTAGTGTTAGGTAAGATTATACTATCATTAATCCTATCTTTGGAAATGGATTATTATGGAGTATTTGAAATCACATTCATTGTATAAATAAGAAATGTTACTCTTGATACTATTTGCATGAGTATATAAGATAATGATATATATTTTTTTAATAAGAATTACAGATGTAAAATGAGGAAGATTTTCAAATGGAACGAATAAATTATGTATTGATAATAACACATACAAATATTGTTAAATCAGGTGACAATGAGAGTGGAAAGACCACACTTGTGGCACGACTACAAGGGGTGGAGGAACCCAAAAAAGGGTCAGGCCTGGAGTACTACTACATAGATGTCAAGGATGACTACAGGGATGGTATGTAAACATTCAGATGAGTGTTATCATCATTTAATGTACATGTACCACATATGGTTCAAAATTGTTGTATAGAAGTGAGAATTCATGTTTCCTAGAATGTGCATGTCATTTTTAGACATTTTGCCTGTCAGGAATCTCATTTAGGGGCTATAACTGTTTGATGGTCATTTTTGAATTTTAGATCAAACACATGCTGGAGTCTGGGTCTTGGATGGGGACCCCAGTCATACAGGCCTTCTAAAGTTTGCCATCACAGAAGAAAACTTTGAAAATATTCTAGTCTTGCTTGTTGCATCCATGAACCATCCTTGGTCTATAATGGAGTCACTCAACAAATGGGCATCCTATCTGCAAGAGCACATAGACAGATTAAAATTAAAACCAGAAGATCGTAGAGAGTATGAGGAGAGCTGTAAGTCTGATTATAGTGATAGAAAAAAAACTTGATGTTGCTAAAGTTAATTTTTAAGATGATATATATTTCCTTTGATAAAAGAATCAATCCTTTTCTGGTAAGTGATGATAATATTTATGTGATGCTACAATCACTGTGACTGGAAAATTTGAATAAATTTGGTCTTTTTGAATTTTTTTTTTTTTTTTCAAAAGCCATAGATCAAGATGTTCACTTTGTTTGCTCTTTTTTCATCTATATTTAGCTGAACGTTCTTATTTTATTTCTCCATTTTTGTATGTAATATTCTAAACACACAGTATTGTATATATGAATAATTTATTGAATTACAGTGATCAGATTCTTCCAAGAATACACTGAACCAGATGAGAATAGCACTGGGAGTCAGGTTCCCTCCCACAGGAGGGATGTGAACCCCCTTCACCCCACAGCAAGTCACACAGAGGAAGACAAAGTCTTACTACCTCTAGGAGAAAACACTCTATCACAGAATCTAGGAATACCTATAGTAGTAGTTATAACAAAGGTAAAAAGTAGGAATTACATAGAATAATCAGTTCTAGCCAAAGTAAGACACAATATTTAGTTGTCGAAAAAAATTATTAAAATTTAATTGTTAATTTGGACTTGCAGTAAGTAGTGAAGTGCTTCACTCCGAATTCCGAATTGTCATGAAATGATGTATACTGTGTATTTGCATCAGAGCAAGTTTTAGCATTACAAAAAGTTGGTTAAATTCACGTAATTTAATTGTGCATACAGCACTTTCTGTGATCAATGGAGTAGTTTATGCATCTTCATGTTTGTAAGCAACATTGGAAGTTCAAAAGATTAGTGAAATTGTCTTAAGAATTTTTTTTTACTTGTTGAAGCAAAACAGAGAAATGGACAATAAGTATTGTTGAAGTTACTACAACTGGGAATACTGGGAAAAATCTTTAATGATTGTGATGTAAAAAAAAAATTAGGTGTAATTTGGGAACAGAATATCAATGGTACTTTATGTCTTACTTTAGCCAAAAACAGTTTGTTGTTAAGTAGAATAGATCAGCTCCAAAGTTGATTTAAATTCTTTTAAAATTCAGTTATATCTCTTTTTTTTTTCAGAGTGATGCAATCTCAAATTTAGAAAAAGAGCATGACTTTAAAGAAGAGCATTTCGATTTCATACAGCAACACATTAGGAAATTTTGTTTGCACTGTATCCTTCAAATAAATTATATATCTGTGAATCAGTGTTCAATTTTACAATGTACATGTGAAATGCAGAATACAAAATAAAAAAAAAACAACAACATACTTTTAGGTGAAAGACTGTCTAAATGTACACAAACATGAATTTCATAGCAGTATGTTCAACATGCACTGTAAATCAAAATTTCATTTTCATTTAAGTACTAGAGAAATGTTGTGGGTAAAAAAAATGATACACTTTGTCCTTAACCTAGTCAAAGATGGTGCAGGTTTAGTTTATACCTCTGTCAAAGAAGAAAAGAACTGTGATTTATTGTACAAATATCTAGTGCATAGAATTTATGGCTTCCCCTTTTCGTCACCAGCATATGTAGTGGAAAAAGACTGTGTTTTTGTGTAAGTTTCAACAAAATGTAAACCAAATCAACTTCTGTTGTGCTTAAGTGATAATGAATTCTCAGTAATTGGAATCAGTCAGTGTATATTTTTCGTTGCTTTATGTTTATGGGACCTTTTCCCTTTTATTTCAGTCCTGCTGGTTGGGATAATGAGAAGAAGATAAGTATATTGTATGAAAATTTACACTCCATGAAACCAGACGACTGCTATGAAGACGTCATCACAAAACCTAGTAGTACAAGGAAGGTAAAGTCGTGTTACGAATCATAACTAACAGTTTCAGTTTTATAAAGTACAATGATTGCAGGATTAATTTATAATTTTGACATACATTTAGTGTAAACAGTCATATGTGTCTTTTAAAACCAACAGAAAATAATGTGACTCGATAATATTTGTAAAAAAAAAAAATAAATAATTATAATCTTTTCTTTTTAAAGCTGAACACAACTCACAAATAGGCATAAGCCATGTTATTTTTACTATTTCCGATATTAGCACTGGGGTATACCCTTCACATCTGTTACACCTGACTGCTTTCTTGTCATGGGTACCTGTGTGGAATGGACGACACATGTTCATGCTGATTATCTTACATTATCTTTATTTACATTTTATTGCAGTATACGTGTATTTGTGTTTGTATACTGCACTGACCTGTGCAACCGTGTAAGTTTCTTGGTATCTTTCTCTTCTGCTGTGGAAGAAGCACACAGTAACTTTTGTTGCTACTGAGTGTTTTACAATAGTTATGTAGCATACGTCCATCTACACAGGTGACAACTGATTACACTGAACAGTCACTAAGTGAATGACGTATAAAGGGGCCCTTAGATATAACAACTGAATAAAAGAATATGGCAGAACATTCCTGTTACAAATCGTGTTCAGCTTTAAGATTTGAAAATAGATATCTTTCAAAATGTAATAACTTTTTGAGTGATCAGTGTCTTCTGATATTTGATTAGTCATTGCCCTCTGATGTTTGATTGGTTAATGCACTCTGATGTTTGTTATATGTAGCCAATACAAAGGGATGCTGAGGTGGTTGCTGAAGATGAACAAGTTTTCCTGATGAAACAACAGAGCATTCTGAATAAACAACCAGCACCTGGACCTGCTGGGGTAATTAACTTAGATAAATTACTGGCAACATCTTGAGCTCAGCAAATCAATAAATACATCATCTCTGATAGTGAGAAATTATGATTTACAATGTGGAAAAAAGATAACAACCATTGGCTTTTCTAAACAGCTTGTAAGGTCCATAGAATTAGCAAATGCTTTGCATCATAGCTGTCCTATTCTTTATTAGTAGCAAATTTTATCAGTGTTAAAAATTGTTTCATTCATGATTGTCATAATAATCTTGATAAAATGCATTCAATTTGCTAGTCTGTGTGATATTTTATCAGAATGTTTAAAGACTGGGTTATCAGAAAAGATCAAACTGAACAACCTAATCAAATATACATGTAAAAATTACCAAAACCACTTTGTAAATATATTAAAGTCAAGAGTTGTGAGACATTGATACGTCAGACAAACACAGTTAAAAGATAGGCATCAAGAAAGTACATTCAGCTTATGGAATTTTTTAGCTGTACAGTATTTCAACTGAGATAACTGTCTACTTTATCAACTTATTTCTTTAAGCTGATTTATAGCAGTTGAACTTAAGAGTAAAAAACACTGATATCTTGAATACATGTACCATGGATATGTCGAAGGAGTTGGAAGTTCCAACCACTTTCTCCTTATATGTTTTAACCTCAATATCTAGAACCCTTAGATATCTCGGAAGTTTTTTTTCTCAGTTCTATCAAGTTCAAGATGAGGTTTGACTGTATATGATATATTGGCACATACTTTTGAAGATAAATTAGGGAAGAGAATAGAATACTTTCTTCAGAAAATTCAATATAATACATTCTATTGTTAATTTAAGGAGACACCACCAAGACAAGCAGCTCCACCCAGGACCACTCCTCCTCGTACCCAGACCACAAACAGTACTACAACCCCCCTCACCAGCTCTCCAAAGAAGGTAACATACCTCTCTATCTTAACAACAATTATACACAGTTCTGTAGTTAGTCTGTGTAAGAATGCATTTTATTTATGTTTCGATTTAGTAACTAGTTAAAAGGGATTTTCTTCTGTTATTTAAGGGAATGAAGATAAGAGTGTGTTTTGATCATGTTTGCATCTAACAAGAAATGCATGTTTTTGATGCTAGTTCATTTATTTCCTATCAATTTATAATGTCAATATCAAGCCAAAAATAGGCAAGAATAAGACTAAGGTGAATTGATTGCAGTGTTTGATAAGTCAAGTGTATGTGTTTTGATTGGATCAAATGTTGGAGTTGCCGTTTTTGCATATCCCTATGTAGATTATAAGAAAAGCATGTTACATTTCACCGGAATGATACTTAGTACTATGTCTTTATCAGCAAATGTAAATTTAATGATCACTTTGTAACGTCTCTATGGTCACAAAATAGATTTGATGTAATAATTTTAATGAAGTTTTACATATAAATCTTGTATTGTTATAGACAATTACACTGTTGATTTTGATTTTATTTTTGTTTATGTTTATAGAGGCTGGTAAGTTTCCTTATAGGTTTGACATGTAAACTCTAAATGCACTCAGTTATCAGCTTCATTTCAGCAGAATGATGTATATTTTAGTCTTTTATCTTCTTCACAGACATGCCAAAAAACATGGTGTGTCTGTGCAAAGTATCATAAGTTTTCAAATTTTGAATTTGATGGAATGCTGCTTTGACTTGAGATATAAGATTGTTAATGAGCATTAATTTTATTAATTAGCATCAAATTGAGCTTTGCAGTATGCTGAGTTTTTACTGTGTGGTCCCTGTGCCATTATTGTTAATTCAGTGTACCATATATGTCTTGTTTTCCTCTACCCAGTGAATTAACTGTGACTTGAATGTCAGCAGCATACTTGCTTAGCTCAGTAGATTTTGTATTTCAAATTCTATTTTGATTTTTCTTCTTTATCTACATGCATTTTTAACTGATTGCATTGCTGAACATTTACTGTTAAAAAAAAAGACAAGTTAACTTGAATGTATTCCTGTGTTACATTTATCTTGCATTTAAAACATCATGAATTTCGACTCTTCTTTATTTGTTAATTTTTTTTTTAATTTAACAAGCATGACATTGCTTTCATTTGAATTGGCACAGGAACATGTTCAGTTTGCTTGTCAGAGAAAAATTATTATTTCATGAATATGTCATTATTTACATGTATAATCAACTAGAGATCATCAACATTTTAATTCCAAAAATACATGTAGCACAGTTCTTTTTTTAAAAAAAAAAATTAAGCACAACTAAATGTAGTTTGCTTATTAAATACATGTACATATAACTGGAGCCGTTTAAGAGAGAGTAATTGAATTTATCTTCAAAGCAAATATTTTTATATGTAATTTTTTTTTTCATCAAATGATATATATGTACTTGTATCAAATTTTCAATATATGAAGTGTACAGTGTACTACTGTTAGAAAACTGTTTAGAAGGCCAACCTTTCATTTTCAAGTACACACTCTATTCATAATGATTTATGCCAGATTGCAGAAATATATAAATATATATATACATATAAAAATGGAACTCTCCATAAATATCGTGTATAATTCAGCATATAATATTTTTTATATAATATCAGCTAGCTTATGAAATTTGTACCTAGTATTAGGAAGAGAAAAAGAAAAATGCACTGTTTTATATCTTCCATAAATGTGGGTGCATTTATTTACATGTTATGCAGTGTATTTCAATGACATTTATGCATGAATATGTTGGTGAAAGAGACAGTGCCCATTATGAGTGATGTAGATTTAGATTGTTATGGGGGAAAGAATAACTGGAGGAGGTATAAAAACAATCAATATACAACACTAATGGGGAGGGAAATGGGGTATACAAAGCAACAATTATATTTTCTCCAAAATATATACACTATTTAAATAAAAACATTCATTTCATTGAGGATTTTGCAGGACCAAAAGAAAAAATTCATTTGAATATGTGCATGAAATGTCTGCTTTTAATATTGCAAATTCATTTTTAGATACATGAAATTAAAATGTAGACAGCTACAGTGTAATTTCTTGTATAAAATTAATTTTTTGTGATACAGCTTCCTTAATAAAATGGAGATTTTTATTTTATTTAGATGGAGGCAGGAAAGGGAACTCCGACCAGTGAAGGCATGCTGGCCAACTTCTTTAACAGTCTACTGAACAAAAGTACTGCAAAGACACCAGGTGCCACAAAAGCAGGTACATAGCATGCTAACTTCTACTAAAAAATTAAAAAAATGTCTCTCTTCCACCCACCCCCTTCCCCCTTCCCATTCCCAAGCCTACCAAAATGATTCTCATTAGACCCATTGATTCCCATTTCATACTGATGATTAAAAGAAATGCATGAAAATTGAAAAAAAAAACAAGCAAACAAAAAAAAATTTAACTACATTCCAATGATTTTTAAAATGTTTTTTATCCAACTGAAACATATTTTTATTCTCTGCAGGAGATTTAACAGGTATGAACCCCAACACTAGCATACTTGCAATTCACCAGGCTTCTCCTAGCCCTGACAAGCATATGGAATTAATCGAATAAATCACTGAACACCCTTTTTAAGAAAACTTGATATTTATTTTAACCCTTAAAGTAGTAGGGGTGATCAACCATGTAATTTTTAAACCATAAGGGAATGTCCATTGTCCTGCATTTTAGCACACACACTGTAATAATTATATGTAATATTTAATGAAGCATGTTGGTCATGGTCTAGGTGGTAGGCGGATAAATTTGCATGCAGCAATGGATGTGGAAAGCAATAGGAATGTTTTGAGTGTTCGTAGACCTGTTATGCAAAAATCCAGAGGTAACCATAGTAACTTGGGTCATTTGAAAACCCCCCAGCAGTTTTCAAGGGAAACATTTCAGATTGCAAATTCTGGATATTTAAGATTAAGTTACACCATCTTTCATCCTCCAAAGAAAAAAAAAACAATAAAAGGGTGAAAGTGGTGTGTTGCATTATTTTCTCTATAAATGAGAATAAAAAATGCACACTTTGTAGGATCGAAAAAGAGAAAGAAAAGTTATTGTTATTATAATGGTCTTAAAACCCTTCATTACAAGTTAAGCCAAATTCATTTCTCTTTTTTTTTTTTTTTTTTTTTTTTTTTTTTTTGTATATGAAGTTTTTCTGCCCCTGTGAAAACTGCTCTAGGCTCTTTTGTAGAGTTCACTGCTCTCTGTTGCTGCTGTATTTACCAATCAATGCTATTGGCTCATGCCTATTTTTATATTTAAAACTTGTTACGTTTTTATTAAATCAGTAGAAGTGTGGGATTTCTGTGATTTTTTAACATTTTGATGTCATATATTTGAAGGTTTTGCAAAATTTTATTTTGAAGGCTCACCATTAACATAAGATTATCTAAAAAAAAAATACATGTGCATTAACCAAGTATTGAATAAGAAGCTTGATTTTGATATAAAACTCATATTGAACAAAACTTTTTATTGTTTCACATTTTCCATTTGCACAAGACCAGATAGTTACATGTAAATGTCAGTAATTCTCTCCACAAAATCACACGACTTTCTTAGTGGTCTCTTGAGTAGATTTTATGGAAGGTAAGTTTGTGGTAAAAGTCAGCATCTATTAGGATTTCTTTGCATGTGGCCATATGTATGAAAACTATAGAATTCTGTAAAATGCTAGGCCTCTCTTGAGTACACAGCGATAGGTACAAATAATGTACATGTATATAGTGTCTTCTCCAATTTCACTGCATGAGTTCTGAGGTTTGAAGTGTCATTACAAATTTATGAAGTGCAAACTGATTAATAATATCCTTATGCTTTTGGATTTCTTTAAAACCGAGTATTACAGATATTTAGGCGCAGCTAATGTAGTAGCAAAAACTAGTTGGAAAAAGGCAAAAATAGGTGTAGATGGTAAAGCTATCAATTTGTTTTCTTACCTGAAATGTGTGCAGAAATGCTTTCAAATTTTGTTTTGTGGTAAGAGTTTATTCATTTATAAGCTTTGGAATATGTTCATGCAGCATAATGTAGGAACCCACTACTGCAAGTTAACTCCTGGTAAAATACTCCATAAAAGCTGTTCTATGATGTTTTCCAGATAAAGCTGCCGTATCTCGAGAAGCTGCAGCCGAGTTGGAGCGATTGCAGAAGTCCAAGAAAATGACACCAGAAGTTAAACCCAATGGACCGGACAGTGCAGCATCGTGAAAAAAATCAAACACCATACAGACTGACAACACAAGGGCACCTGCTTCCTGTCTGTATATAGATCTAGGGGGCGGGGTGCCTATTCTGCTTCATTTTCTGTGATGAACCGTATGAAAAGATATAAAAACATCCAGGGTGGAAAAGATAACCATATGGTATTCATATGATTTCATAGGTAGTCGTATGGTGGGATTTCACTGAAATCCTTTTTTTTTGAAGTTCTGGGTTGCCAGACACAAGTATAAACATATGATGTGATATTCAGATGTTAATATTTATTCTGCACCAAGTCCCAGAATGGTTAAATAAATAAATAAAGATGTATATAGTCTGTTTGTGTGGATAAAGAGACTAAGCCTATAGGTACTTTTGATTAAGAATCCTCTCCACATTTTATTTATCATAGGAAAAGCCAGTGTATCATTTTATTGAAGTATATTGTGCAAAAAATGGGTTGTTCTGTTGAGCTACAAGTGACGTGTTGATAGCTTTTTAAAGTGCTGTATTTATTTATTTCCATCTTCATGATGATTTTGCTTTGAGCCACTCAGTAGAAAACTGGTTGAATTAATTGTCAAAAGAATGGCTGTGTCAATTCGGATTCAAATTTTTACAATTTATATGTAAATAGAGGAAAACTTACACATATGCAGAGATTAAACAGAAAAGGGAAATAAACAAGCATCTTTGTTAAAGAGACCATTCAGGTAAAAAGTTATGAATGAAACATATAAATCATTACTTTTGTTTCTGTATGTAATTTTTTTTCTTAAATTGTGAATTACTAAAGATCAAAATATTTCCTTGCAATTAATTTATGAAATAGTGTGTTTGATCAATTTTTCCGTAAAAAAGGACAAATAATAGGATATTCATCTATGTCTTCCTTTCAGATTTGTAATATTGTAGTAGATCATATTTGTTTAAGTTGAAAGTTATTGTTGAAGACATCCCAGTTTTTTTTAATTTTACGGATCTCTGTTGACAGAAGTGCTCTGTTCTTTGAATTGTGTTGATCCAGAAGGATACAAAAAAAGTCCATTTCCAATAATGTACACAGTCCATAGTCCTGTTGGCATGGTCCCCTTAAGTATTCCCTTAATAAATGCTTGACAAATAATAGTGCACAGAATAATATTTTTTTCAGTATTGATATTGAATTTCAAAGTTACATGGCTATGATAGAAATCTCCCATTTATTATTTAAGAGAGAAGTTTGTCTCATATCACATGGGAAGCTATAGTGCAATATTTATATACTTTACTACAATAAATGTCTATGTATAATGGTGCAGATGTATGCGGCAAGTTTGATAAACTCTAGATTTTTTTTTTTTTTGTGCATAATTACATTACTGTGTGCTGTAAATGGTATTTATTGTGTATTGCTAATGAAATTGTGCATTTATTTGAAGAATGAAATTATGATAAGGCTGTTTAATACTTCAATGTAAACATAAAGTGTATATGTACTTGATTTCTTTATATTTTGTCCATTTAGTTTGAAAATTACCAAAAAAAAAATATGTTATGAAACCTTATATAAAGAAATTGGGTTAGTGATATAATTTTTGTACTTAATTTTTTTTCCTGTAAATATATTTTATCATCATATTCTTAAAATGCAGGTTAGCTGCATTGTCATTTAAAGAAGATAAATGACTCCCATGACATTTAAAAACTCTGCAAATGTGTAAAAGACAATAATTTATAATATCTTAGAAGAAACTGTATAAGGAATTAAAGCTTTTTCTTTTTTTTCATATGCACTTTCTTTTGACTAGAAAATAAGCATTGAAATTTGTAAAAACATGAACATTTTTATGTTAGCTTTTCAGGAGGAAATATTGTCAAATGACTTGATTATATTTCCTGTTTTCGTTTAGACACTGTGTTCGTTTTTCATTTGTCTTGCCCAAACAACATTTATTTGTAGAACTCACGAGCTAGTCAAGTCAGTTTATAACACTGTAAACTTGTGGAAACTTTTAGATTTGTATTTTTTACTGTCACAGCTAGACTTTAATATTTTAAGTTTATCATAACATTCCATGTAATGTTTCAAAAGAATAAACAAAGCACCTGAATGTACTTTTGAAAAAAAAAACAATATACATCCATATAAAACAGAAAAGAATATCTTTCACAAACAAGCTCATACTTCTATTGCCTTAGGCTTTTTTTCAGATTTTATGAACTTTGCATCATGTTTAATACTCCAAACCTGTGAACTATTTGCACTCAGTAGCTTTAGAGACAGAAAATTTCACTTGTAATTACTGTATACAACAAATATGGTTATATATTTTTATGAAAAGGATAAAATGCTCTTAAACATCAATATAATTAATTTTTTGACAAAAAATGTTGAAATAATGTAGGAAGCGTTTGTGGATAATGCAAACCATCAGACTGGTCACAGGTCATTTAATGCAGAGGTGTTTGATGACCACTGTATTGGCCAGTTATTTATGTATACGAGATGCAAATGAAACCTTTTAGCCTATTTATTAAAGCCAAAGCCATATTGTAATGATTAGCTACAGTTAATGGGTCGTGGATTTTGTTTACTTGAAAAAAATGAAATAAATGTTGAAACATCACATTCCTTCTCATTCATTCATTTTTTTTTAATACAGTAAAACATACTTATAGAGAACACACTTATAATGAATTGACACTTATAAAATGATGTATTAATTTAACAGATGTAACGAACTACGTTTATAACGAAGCAAATTCGTCCGTCCCTGGTTCTTCGTTATAAGCGTATTTTACTGTATCTGTAAAAAAAAAAAAAGGGGGGGGGGTCTATCCCAGTCAAAGAAAAATTTCCAACCCAAAAATTCCTTCACAAAAAAAACAACAAAAAAAAAACTTTAATTCCCTTCCAAAACGTATGGAATTCCATATACGACAGCCAACTGCGTACTGCCAGCCGCTTACTGACAGCTGCTAGTTATCGATGATTTTGCGTGTTTTAATGCGCATGCTTGAATAAACCCTATCATAGGATAATTACAACAAAAATTGACCTATCCAGGAACTTTGAAACGGTGAAGACGCGGAAGGGATTGATAGGAGGAAAGAGTATTTCCCCTTAATTAAATTCAAAACATCTAATTCCCACATTCCTTTAAGGCAAATATTGACGGGGAGAGATTATAGGTTTATATAACGTCAGAAAACATTGGGGGGGGGGGGGCAAACTCTTAGTAGGATATTGGGTTCATTCTTATCCATTATTTCCTCTATTATAGAGATTTTTTTAGTATGACATCTATATCATTAATAAATTATAAATTAATCATTATGTAAGGGGGAAAAAAGAAAGAATACATATTGTAAGTAATGAAAGAAAAAGAAAATCAGAAAGAGAAAAAAATACACTGGGGAGGAGGGGGGGGGGCATAACCCAACAGAAATCCTTTGACAAGTAATAAAAAAGGTCACAGTTGTCATTTTTGATGGTGCACTACTGTATAGTATATGTTGGCAATTTACTGGGGGACTACCCCCACCACCAATGCTTTTGCAGCCATAAAAAACGATTTAAATAAGACACATATAACAAATACAGGTACTTTTCATAGGTGAAAAGAAACGCTGAAAGATAGTGCTGGATAACACCCCCCCCCCTCCCCCGCGTCAAAAAACTATTGAATTATTTGCCTGCAAGAAATATGGGAATTAAATGTTTTGTTTTTAAGAGGAAATATTCCTTCTTCCGATTTACTCCTTCCTCGCCTTCACAGTTCAAAAATGTCTAAATCTGCCAGTTTTTGTTATTGTTGTAAGAACTACGCACGCTAACTCTCGATTTCAGACTACATTTTACATAAATGGCAATCTGGCCATTAAAACTTGTATGAATGCAGAGAAAAGTTCATTAATAATGGATTAATAATTTTGAAAAACAGTGTAATAAAGTTAATTGCTCTTGTTTATAACTACTTTCACGAGGGGTAGAAAATTTAATCGATTGAAATCAAGCTTTAAAACATCACAAGATTTTCAAATACTAGTACTTCAACATATCAGATTGATAAAGTACATTTATTTTTATTTGTTATCTCATTTGAAATTGGTAATAAAATGACTATTTTCCTGTTTTTAGTCGGTAAACATACCGCCCCCCCCCCCCCCCCGGTGAAGCAACAAAACCTTTGGGGGGTATGAATTTGTGAAATAACAATTCATAATACATATAAAGAGAAATTGTTGCTATACGGAGGGGGGGGGGGGTTAAAATAAATTTCCGTTTTCCGTTGTGAAAACCACAAGTTTTGCCAAAATTAAAGACTTATCTCGCTGTTTTCCTAAATAAGTTATGTTTTAGGAAAATTCCTATAAATATCTACATAAATATGAAAAATCATTCAAATGTGTTAACTTTTGAAAATTGAACTTTGTTGGCAGAACAATACTATCGTTCGCCGTTCTTTTCTTGCATAGGGTTTATTCAAGCATGCGTATTACAGATATTAAAGATAACAAAACAGGCAATATCATCTATGGGCAGTGGCAGTTGGCAGTAAGCAGCTTGCAGTTGGCTTTAGACAGTGAGCAGTTGGCAGTAGGCAGTGTGCAGTTGGCAGTAAGCAGTTGGCTGTCGTATATGGAATTCCATATTAACAAGTTTTGAAAAGTAAAATATTAATTTCATTTGGTGGTGCGTTTGCAATTTTGTCTAGTGTTTTTATTCTTTAAGTATTTTTTCTGTGAATTCAACCATTTTCTGTTGTTTCTCTCTCTCTCTCTTTCTCTCATACATATTGTACAAATCCATTAGATTTCCTCTGTATACAAGTAATTAGAATGTCCTTCATTGTATGAATCGACATGCTTTCTAATTTAACATGTATGTTTATTTCAAATACATGTATCATTTTTTAAGCAGCTTAAAACCTTGTTTTGTGACTATCTAATAAGGGTCTGTCATCTTAATCATAATTTATAAGGAAACGGATTAGTAGTACAAGTTTTTAAAACTTGTTCCCGAATCCTTTTTGATTTTCTGTACTACTTGCCTGTATTTTCTGCTTGTCGTTTTCAAATAAAATTGGGTTATTGAAATAAACGAACACCATTGAAAGTGATAAATGAGTTTATTTTTTATCAATGCTTAAAAGAATCCCTCAAAAAACTCCATAGTAATATATTTTTTTTTCAAACTAAGACCCCCCTCCCCCTCAAAAAAATCAGTAAAATTTCAAAGTAGATGCATGAAAATGAAATTTTCTGAACAAAAAGAATGATTCTACGAAGAAACCGATTAAAAAAAAAGAAAGGATGATGATGAAAATAGTAATGGTGGTGATGACATGTAGCTGAACTGCCACATAGAAAGTCACATACGAAGCTTATACATGTACATCTAACGAAACACAGTTCTCTGGAATTTAAGTTGATGTCCTGAAACTTCGCAAAAAAAGAGTCTTTAGGGTCATATTAATTAAACAGCTTTTTCAGTTTCATTCCAATTCTCTCGAACAAGTTTGGTCTCCTACAACGGAACTGAATTTTCTGTTCCTCCATTTCCGTCTCGAGATCATTTTCTCCTTTTGCCAAGAATTCTACGTGTAAGTCTGTGGCTTTAAGCTGACGTTGAAATCGTTTTATCTGTAATAAGAAAATTGACTGGCTGTTTAAATAACTGGAGAGAATTTTTGTGAGGTTAAAGGATCAATGACAAACACAAATTAAATTTAAGATGCACCGCCTCCGATTAAATTGGGTGGTGAAGTGTCCCAGATATAATCATGGCCGTAGGAACCGGGGGGGGGGGGGGGCACGGGGGGCCGTGCCCCCCCAATAATTTTGCCGATATATAGATTACTATAAAAAAAAAAATAGCTACTATATGCCTGTGCCCCCTCAATAAATACGTCTGATGACCTTTTTTTTTTTTTGCTTGTCAAGAAATTTTTGATAGTTGATAGTGCCCCCTCAACTGAAAATGTATGGCTATGCCCCCCCCCCCCCCCCAAACTGAAATTGCTTCCTACGGGCCTGATAATACTTACATTGAATATCGTTTCTTCCCCGTCCTCTAAAATTCTAAGATAGTTTTTAGCTTCTTTTTCATTTCCTGAAAAAAAAGATCCGATTATAGTATCAATGAAATAGCTGAACTCTGAAGAGGTTTTGAAGATATAAATACGCCTAATGCAGATAAATAAAAAAAAATCTACCAGACTCTATTAAATCAATAAAGAAATATTTTGTTTTTGTTTGTTTGTTAATTGTTTAACGTCCCTCTCGAGAGTCTTTCGCTCATATGGAGACGCCACCACTTGCCGGTGGAGAGCTGCAAATTTTGACCTATACTCGGCACTCAGGGACATTGAGCAGTGAGGGATCTTTTTCGTGCTAGCACCTACTGCGACACGGGACCTCGGTTTATACGGTCTCATCCGAAGGACCGATCTCCACGTTCCACAGTGGGATTCGAACCCGCGACGTAAGGATCAACTCCTTACTCCGCGAGAAAGAGCGAACGCTCTAACCACTGCGCCACGCGGGCGACGAATATTTTGTTTTAATGACCAACATAATAAATGAAACTTACCACCGTTGACTAGATCCTGCAAATGTTGGGACCACATTCTGTTGTGTGTTGTTATGTCTTTGTCTGTAATCAAGTTTTTCTTTAATGCTTCCAAGAATAAGTACGAGAATATAATAAATCTCTTCTGTTGCACTGGTAATAAAAAAAGATAGATTTGCATGTTTTACATGTATGTAAACGGTATTGTAATCTTATTAGTACTTTTTGCAAATCGAAAAATCTTTGGTTTTACAGACAAACATTTCATTGTCTTACCAGCAATGTCTTTCTTGTCGGAATACAAAAATTCATGTTTGTCCGAAGTTTCTTTTTCAAAGAGAAAGATGACGATTTGTAGAATGTTTCGTCTCTAGAAAATAAATGAAAAAGAAAATATAGAATGAACATTCCTAATTATCTTTTAGAAATTTCTAAGCCATGGCATGTTGTAAAATAGTTCTTCGATGTGCTTTATTAATTTCCTTTTAAAAAGAAATAATCAGAAGTTCCTGTTGAAGCTTACCACTGGAGTCATTGTTCGGGTCTTCTTTTTTGACAAATAGTCTAACAGACTTGACTTTAGACACTGATCAATTGATTTGTTCCCGAATCTCTCCATTGTTTCAAGATTATAGCTGTTGTACAGTCTCAGATTATCCCAAATGTTTTCTGGACAACAGAAATGCTTTGTGACGTTAGTCTGTTATGATGTTTTTTTATTATGACGTCATCGTATTGACTCCCTCTAACCCGATGTTACGAATAAAAAAATCTTCACTTCATGAAGACTCATTTAACATTTTTTGTTTAGGACAAGTATTCTACATAGATTATGTAAATTCTCTTAAAAAGATTTGACTTGTTAGGCACTCCATCCTAATAAAAGTTGGGATGATGGGAAAAGTTGAATTCACATATGAAGATTCTTGCATATTATTATATAATATATGACTTTAGTTATGGTCTTAAAAAGATAATAGTTTCTACAATTTTTATTGCCTACCTAGCATTGTGACGCTACAGTAGCCCCAGGAATCATGCTATAAACAAATC